CACCCTACAGATCCACGGGGAAATAATTCACTTGGGAAAGGCGAGAATTGACTAAAACTGCCAATCCCGAGGGCGTTACTGGGAGCAGCAGCCAGCCAGGAGCGGGTTTGTCCCAGATTTGGGAAATTCCAAGGCTTGGAACCACCCGGGACAGTGGAAAGAGTTCCTACCCCGGCAGGGTGGGATGGATGAGCTGTAAGGTCCCTTCCAACCCAAACTGTGCTGGGGTTTGATGGGTTTCCCTGGTTTGGGCACCAGCACCCTCTCTGGTGGTGCTGCGTGATTTCAGAATCCAGCTGGGTTTTATTTTAATTTGTTATTATATTTTTTATTCCTTTAGGGAAGCAGGAAGGCACCTGAGGGGTCGATAAAGCAGGCAATGAAGGGTTTGGTACCTGCCCCTTGCAGCTCCCTGGATCCACCAACGCCTCATCCCGAGTAATTAAACCAAATTAGTCCTTTTACTAATGAACTCCAGCCCCTCCCTGGGATGGCCACGGTCACACCCAGGGTCCTGCTGGGCTGCGGCCTCAGTGAATCCCCCGGAATTAACAGCAGAAATTAATTAATCTTGGACTGGGAGAGATGGGAATCCCCAGCCCCTGCCGGGAATTCCTGCGATTCCTGCCGAGGAGAACTCCGTGCCGCTGCCAATTGCGGATATAAATAATGGAGCCCTGATGAGCCCTTTCCGATTTGGCCAGGGAGGAGCAGGGCTGGCAAGCGGGGCTGTCCCTGAGCGCAGGGACCCGCAGTGGCCACTCCGGGGGTGCCAGGGATAATAACAACATTCCGGGGATGGGTTTGCTCCCAGCTGCTTCACCCACACTTGGAGCAGGGATTGGGGAAGCCAGGCCCTTGGAATTGATTTTACACTCATTTTCTTTTCTCTTTGGAAAAAGTGCATCCTGCCCTCCCAAACCTCGGTGACCGTTCAGGGCTGCTTTCTACATTGGCTCAGATTTTTAATGTTCCCTTTCCTGGGATTGGTTGCATCCCTTGAGGCTCTGTTAGTCTGACACTCATGGAAAGTTCTTTTTTCCTTGGTAAAGTGACAATTTTCCAGGCAAACCAACCCAAACCCAAGGCCAGGGCTCCCGTTCCATGCAGGTGCTGCTCCTGGGCTGATGGGCATCACCAGGGTTGGTTTGTGTATTTGAACAAAGGTCTCTCTAAAACAAGCAAAATTCCTCTGGTTTGACACCCACAGAACTCCCCAGGCCCCCAAAATGCCCCTCAGTGACCTCAGGGGGTCCTGCTGGGCTGGGATTTTCTCACGTCGAGGTGAGGCTGCATCCCCTCATCCTTCCCTCAGCTCCTTCCCATTCCTCAGGCCACAGCCCTGTGGAACTGCCTAAAAACCCAGCCAGACAAAACTAAGGGAATAAAAATATAGCGAATTTTTATATTTTGCCCATTCCAGCAGTGCCTTTTCTGCATCAGCCCCGAGGATTTTTTGTTGTGGAACGGGGGCAGGAGCAGCCCTGCCCGCCCGGGCACGGGGGAGGATGAGCAGGGCTTGGGGACAGCCCCGGTGACTCCTGGGGTGACTCAGCCCCACCCAACACCCGCAGTGTCCCCAGGGCCCCGGGGCCGTGCCCAGGGCCGGGAAAGGGCAGGGCAGGTGCCCGGGATGGTTTCCAGCCTTTGGATGGTGCCGGGAATTGTCACCGGGCACGCTGCGGGGACAGAAAGTGTTCGTGGGGCTGCTGCTGGCGATGCGAGTTCCACGGAGCAGCAGCTTCTCCTCCCCGCACCTTTTCTGCCTTTAAAGGAGCTTTCTCCTCCCCAAACGCTGTTTTCTCCCCCGGTTTGTCTCCTCCCTGTCCCATCAGCTCACGGCAGAGAGGAGCTGCTGCCGAAACCCAGAACCTTCTCCCACTGAGGGTTTATTCCTGCAGTCACAAAAACCTCATTTGTTCACACTTGGGGGTTTATTGGCATCGGCAGCACGAAACAGACCCAGCCCAAGGAGAGAGGATGCTCCTGCACAGCCAAAGGGCGGCAGAGAATTGGGGATGCACGGGAGGGAGGGACGGGGTTCAGCACATCCGCACCCCCTCCCAGCCCGGCCGGGGCTGATCTCCTCCATGGAGAGCTGTAAATATTTTGCAAACAAAGGCGCTGCCGCAGGTGCAGCCCCGAAAGGCTCAGGAGAAGATAAAGACGCTGAGCGGCGCATCCGCGGTCGGGACACGCCGGAATTTCCGTGGAGACGGCGGCAGCGCTCTCTGCTTCCTTAGGAACCAAACACTTCATCGGCTTTGAGCAGAGCGGCAAACACGCGGAGATGGGCCCGGACAGGCCGGCCGGGTGTGTCCCAGCGCCGGGGATTGCTCCGGCAGCACCTCAGGGTGATCGCGGGGTGCTGATCCGCGATCCGGGCATGGCCACGTGCGGCGCTTCCATCCCAAAATGGGCAATTTCTTCATTCTGAAGGCAGCAGGCGGACCCTGGCCTGATTAATTCAAGTGTAGGGTGACTTTTACATTGACAGAATAAATGATTTCTCGCTCGTTGTTGCCCCAAACTTTGCTGGGTTGAGCGGCACCCAAAGCTCCAGCACTGAGAAGGGTTGAGTTGAATTGGGATTTATTTTTAACTCCCGGTCTAAACCTCTCTTCCAGAAGCCATTGGCTGGTTATTTTCTTTGCTTGCACTGGGGGCTTTTAGCCTGACAGGTTTTTCAGGACACGGAAATGTTCCTGGTGGGAGCTGTGATGGAAGCTGGACGTGGATCGGGAATGTGGGGCTGGAATTTCCCGAGCGTCCCCCGGCACCTTCCTCCTGCCTCAGCAGGGACAGCGGGACCTGCCCAGAGTGGGGACACTCCCAGGGACACCAGGACATCACACCTGGAGCGCTCCTGGGGACACGGGGACATCGCACCTGAGCATTCATGGGGACACAGGCAGGGCCATCGCCCCTGGAGCGCTCAGGTTTCCCCGGCCCCTGGAGCTGCTCTGCACGAACCGGCGCTGGCAGATCCCCGAGTCCCGGGGCCGGGGCTTTGAGCGGTTCCCTCCCGGCTTTCCTGCGCTGCTCCTGCGG